CCCCAGGTGACCACTCTGCCCTCGGAGGTCGGCGTGGGCGACCCTCCGAACGAGACGCGGCGCTGCAAGCCTCGTGCGGCTCACGGTGACCGTCGCCCGCGGCACACACGCGTCGCCGGACAGCCGCGCGTGAATGCCCTGCGCACTGGCCTCCGCTCACTTTGCGGAACAAGCGTCAACAGCGGTGCGCGGGGTTCAGCTATCCACCCCCCAACCCCGCCCGGGCCGCCTCCTCCTTGCCACCCGGCCCCCCCTCCTCGCCCGCGGGTCTGCTCGGTCCGGCTTCCGCGCTCTCCGTCTCCGCTGCCCCGCGGCGGCGGAGCGATGTAGAAGGTGGGGCCATCCCCTCATCCCTGACATCGCACACGAGGATGAAGAGGGGGGTCCATTGCCCTTCATCGGCGGCGGACGACCAACCGCTCGGCGTGGGATAGCGCGACACCTGTCGGCGGGGCGTTTCGCCGCCCACGGGGGGCGTTCGCCGCGGCGTCCGCGTTGCGAAGAAGCGTCGCCTCGCCATCCTCCCAACGTGCGAGGCGCGCTGACACGCCGTCTTGTCGCCGGCACCCGCGCGGGTGGCCGCCCCACCGGCGCGGACCTCAGGCAGGCAGGCGCCGAGGGTGCGGCCGACGGCCCCTCGACCCGGTCGCTTGGTCTATGGCCCGCGCCCGGCTCCATATCCCTCCCCGCCGGGGTGCCCGCTGTCGACGTGGGCACTTGGTGTGGCGGTCGTCTCGCCAATCTGGCTCCCCCACCCCTCTCAACGACATGGCAAATTTCGATCGCCGCTGCGCCGCGGCGACCGCACGTGGTCGACTCGCGGTTGTTGTCGGATGCTGCGCGGCGACCCCCCTGTGTGAATCCGGCGAGATTTCGGGCGCCGTGGGCGTCTTCAATTTTGCCGGTCGTCCATCATGAACCGCGGATTACTGCTCGGGTGATAGTCTTAGATTAGGTCAAGATCTCAGACGGCGCGAGGAAATAAGATCCGGTCTTCTTTCTACGTTCCTTCTGCTCTTCCCTTCGAGGGCAACACTCTTGGCTTGAAGCTCTCTCGAACTTAATTTTATTCAACTTAGCGGCCTACCTCAGCAGCCCATGCAGGTAAAGAAATACTGTTTAGGGAAGCCCGAGTTCGATTGGAGACCACATCTGACAACACTTGAACCACTAGGGTTCGGCCAATACTTCGGCAAAAGACTAATGTCCTTGCACATTTACGATGAAAAATTTCAGGGAATGCATACAGAGCAAGGCACTCCACCCCAGAGTACGGCCGCCACCATGAAGCATGTGTACACTATTCAAGTGCTTAATGCAGCCCATGGTCTACTAAAATAAATATATACTACTATATATAATATATATATATATATTATTCTCACCAGAGACATTATTATTTTGTGATGAATATGGCCATTTTAATATGGGGCTAGGGGGTATCTCAGCATAGATTTATGTAAGAAATTGTTTTAATAAATTAATCTAATATTAATTTAAAAATATTCATAAATAGATTTTAGTATGATCTGTGGTCTTATAATTAGGAGAGCAGCGCCTAGCAATGTATAGAGTGCAAACTTTACTATATCACGTTATAGAATTTATCGTATATAGAATCATGATAGATCGATTGATCCGATATATGGTGACCCGCTCCAGCAAACCAGGATTAAGTAGGAATTTACAAATTGAGATATGTGCCATATCTGAATTAGATCACTTTAATTGCGTTTAAAATGATATATTATATTTGGCTATATACTAAGGAATTGACCGATCTATCAGCAATATTGAAGATCGGAAGACCGACTTACTTCCAGAATGATGCGCTTTTGAGATAAAGGTTCCCGGGTAAGGGGCCCGTCGCGGGGATAAGTGGTCAGGGGCCGTCTGAAGGGTGCCGTCGTTTTTTTTAAATATTTTATTTATTAAAAATGACCATAGCAATATCTAGAGATATCTGCAACGCTATATATGCGCGGATAATATGCACTTAGAAACTTAATTTTTGAGTAAAAATGCTAATTTTTGTGCGGCAGGTAGGATTTTCGCATTGACCATGTGTGCGTTGCGTCATTACTCAAAAACAATGAACTTGCGAGCTGTAGTCGCGTATTATGCTGGAGCGGGTGCACAGCGAAAATTAATCATAAATAAAATTATTAATATTAATTAACAGTAAAATAAATTTCACTAAACGGATATTTCATACCGATATCTCATACGGCGTAAAAAACGCTATAACCGCATTGCATATTATAAACTGATATATATATGTATTTCTAGGGCATTGCATATTATAAACATTAATATATGCATTTCTAGGCATTGCATAATTATTATAGAACATGATTATATATGTATTTCCTAGCATTGGCATATTATAACACTATATATATGCATTTTTATATATAGATATAGAATAGATGTACATGCGTGCTCAGCGCCGGCGGCGATGCTGCTTCGGGCGCCGACAACGGCTCAGTCGTGACGTTGCTCGAGGTTGGGGCGACTCCAGCGCGAGCTCGCGATTGTCCAGCCGCGAGAAGGTCACACGACGCGTCCGCTCCACCCGCTCCGCCGCCTGGTGCGAAATGGCAAAACGCTGCGACTGAGCGAGAAGAGTTGCAGGGCAGCGACAGTTGCGCTACCAGAGGTAGGTTGATAGATGGAACTTATGTGAAGTCTAACCTGAGTTAGTGGATACTCTTATAGAATGGACGCCTGTCTATAAAGACTATTTGATACAGACTATACTCTAGACGGCGAGCCCTCAAGACAGATTTGTTTATGTAGGTGAAGTAGTTCGAGATAAGTATGTTCTATACACCGTTATACATACTATACTATTATACTATACTATGCATACTATATTATAGCCACGTTGGTTAAATTTGTAATCTATAGTTCATATAATATAGAGTAGCCTAGCATGCATAGTACCATGGGTGAATGATGACAATTTTTTTTACTATTCACCCCTGATAGTACTGTTTGCTGCTAATCGCCCATCCCGGCAGCATACTTTATCGTTCAGCTGCTCCGGTGCCAGCGGGTATGCTGATGACGGCCTGCCGGGCGGCGATTCCGCACCGCCACGGTGTGCTCTTCAGACCACCTGCCCTGTCCCCGACCGGCGGGGTGGGGTCGTGGCCCTGGCCTGGAGTTGTGCCTGCTGGCGTAGAAGGTGGCGGCACGATGCGCCTGCTTTTTCAGCTGCCCAAGTATTGACTCATTGCCAGGCAGCGTAGTGAAGAGCTTGTAGCTTCTCTTTCTGTTTGTGCGCGAGCAGAGAGAGAGGAGAGCGATGACAGAGAAGAGAGACGAGAGAGAGAAGAGAGAGAGAGAGAGAGAGATGAGAGAGAGAGAGGAGAGAGAGAAAGAGCGAGAGAGAGGGCGGAAGAGCGGTGGAGAGAGCGGTTGCGAGAGAGAGAGAGAGAGAGAGAGAGCGAGAGAGAGAGGAGCGAGAGAGAGAGAGAGAGAGAGAGAAGAGAGAGAGAGAGCGGTTGAGAAAGGGTGAGAGAGAGAGGAGAGAGAGAGAGAGAGAGAGGCGTGAGAAAAGAGATGAGAGTGAGAGATGAGAGAGAGAGAGAGAGAGAGAAAGGAGAGTGAGAAGAGAAGACGAGAGTTCGTGAGAGAGCAGAGAGAAGAGAGAGAGAGAGGAGAGAGAGAGGAGAGAGAGAGAGCAGAGAGAGAGCAGAGGGAGAGCGGTGAGAAAAGAGAGCAGAGAGAGAGAGAGAGAGAGAGAGAGAGAGAGAGAAGAAAGAGAAGAGCGAGAGAGAGAGAAAGAGCGAGCGGAGAAGGAGAGAGAAAGAGAGATGAGAGAGAGAGAGAGAGAGAGCGGAGAGAGAGAGACGATGAGAGGGCAGAGACAATGAGAGTCGGGGATTAGATAAAGTAGAGGGTGCTAGACGTAAATTAATACATTAAGTAGCAGTAAAAATAACATATTAAATATATATACATGATACAGTAATTCGCAGATATTCCGGATCTATATATAAATAAATAAATTCGTCATAAATAATGTTAGCAAAAACACGAAAACGGGAGTAACAAGAACAACAACAACAACAGGTTCGCCCCCGCCCCCGCTGTGCGCGTCCCCTCCCCTCGCCACCCCTGCAGACCTCTTGCTCTGCTTTGCTCTGCGCGACGGGGTGGGCGGGCAGGCAGGCACGGACGCCTGCAGGGAGAAGAACGGTCTGGTGATGAGTCGGCGCGAGGCAGACGCCCTCGTACAGTGCCCGTCGCCATGTTGTAAGCGGATCGGGTGCGATGTAGGCGCATCGTCGGCAGCACTGCGGGTTCCGGAAGAGGCCGGATAACGCATGGCGACGAACGTTCCAGAAGAGGCGCGTAAACCATGCGCGAGGCAATGTTCGCGGCAGAGGCGTATACCATTGGAGAGATGTTGCCGGAAGAGGGCGTTACCATGGTAACAGAGTTTGTTCCATGGGGAACGAATGAAAACGGGCAGGAGGTAACCACGGCGATAAAAGCAAACAAGGAGGGTAAGTGGCAAGTGAATGGAACACGGGCGGTCACCGTGGCGAAATAAAGACTGGGAGGCTCACCGTGGCGACCGATGAAATGCGGCAGGTATGGTATACCGTGGCGATGAATAAAACAGCGGGGAGGGTCACCGTGGCGATGGAATAAACATGGAGAGGTCACCCGTGGCAGACGAATAAATGCGCAGAGGTAGCCGTGGGATAAATAACATGGGAGGTCAGCCGTGGTCAACGAATAAATGCAGGCAGGAGGATAACCGTGCGAAGAATAATGAAATGCAGGCTGGACACTAACACAGGCACAGAATCAAGAACGCGGGGAGGCAACCAGCGGATATCGCGAGTGGTGAAACGCGCGGGCGGTACCGCGGCAAACGCGGGTAACCACGGAGACGACGGCTTGCCTCAGCCTGACCTAAGGTTGATGACGTGAAGGGCCGGACGATGCTGGCGATGCCGTCTGGCGCAACGCTGCGTACGATGCTACTCTGGCCTCCCGTGCGCGCTCCTGGCGGTCGGCGATGGCGCGATCGTCCGCCGGCTGCTCGACTCACTGTCGTCTGGCGGCGGGATCGGCCGCGCGGCGGGCCGGCGTGGGCGGCGTCTGCGCTGCCACGGCAACGACTGTGAATAGAGCGCGGCCACTGTCTGTGATTGCTTGCAATCATCGCCCGCCCACAATGCGTACTAGCAGATGAGCAACATGTGTACAAAACAGGCATGCACCGCTAATAATGCCAGCCTAATCCTCACACACACACACATCCCAACCGACACACACACCATCGGCACACTCACGCCACCAACGCCTCAACCCCATCCCACCCCCCTACACGCACACACGGTGCGCACGCACGCACACAGGCCCTGTCCCACATGCATGCACACACGGCCCGCCCCCCCAACACACACAATGCAGCACGCACCACAACGCACAAACGACACAGCGCCCTTTTCCCACACACACGGCAGAGATTTCAGTGCGGCACGCACGCACCACACGCCGCACCACATGGCATGCGACACGGCGCACGCAGCGCCCCCACACACACACAATCCCCACACACGCACGCACACACGCCACACACGCCCTTCCAGCACACACGCACGGGCACGCACGACGACGCCGCCTTTCCACACGCGCACGCACGAACGGCAACGCACGCACTCACCACACGCCTTGCCGACACACGACGGCACGGCGACCGCACGGACACGCAACTATAACTTGCCTAAAGTTGCTGCACGTTCTTCTTATGATAATTTCTCGTTTACGTGACCGGCTTAAGTCAACACGTTTTGCCAAGTATTTACTATCGAAACAATACATATAAGCACACTTATAATCGTATCTATTATATATATTATAATATATATATATGTATATAGGCAATCTTTCTACTCGAAACAATACATTTTATGATATATATAGTATATATATATATATATATATATTATAGTATAGGGCAATTTCTATCGAAGCAAATACATTTATATAGTTTTATATTATTATATATATAGTATAGGCAATATATTAACGAACATATATAATCTAATAATCATGAGCGACTGGGTAGCTTACGGTCGGCGGCGGCGGCGGCGGCGGCGGACGCGGCGACGACGACGCTGGTATCGCTCTCCTGCGCAGTCTTCCTCGTTAGCACCTGCTGCCGACCGTACCTCCTCCGCCGCGGCCTCCTCCTGCTCTTCTTCCCGTCTGCAAACTGGGGGTGACCGACGAGTTAGACGGGCGCCAGACTCCCGCGCCGCGCACCGCGCTCGGGCCGACGCGGCGGCTGGCGGCGGCAGTCTACACGCGAGCGCGGGGGAGGAGTCTCGCAGAAATAGGAAATGAGTTAGATACTGATTTCCTGTTTAGACTTTGCAACGTCAAATGGGAAAACAAACTAGCGGTATGTACCGTGATTTCGCACGCACCTCCTTCTCGTCGATCACGGCTGCAGCTCCTCCGTGAGTTTTTCTCTCACGCGCGAACCCTCTCTCTCTCGATGGACGGACGGAGGAACGGACGGACGGACGGACGGACGGACGGACAGACAGATGGAGGAACGGATGGATGGACGCACGGATCCACGGACGGACGGATTCACGGATGGATGGACGGACGGACCCACGGACCCACGGATTCACGGATGGATGGACGGACGGACCCACAGACGGACTCACGGACGGACAGACGGACCTACGGACGGACGCGCCAAAACCTCGCGGCCGACGCGTCGAGAGACGACACGAGAGTTCTGAAGTTTCCGCCGCGGACCTCTCTCTCTCGCGCGCGCCGGTGAAAAACCGCCCGCCTAACGGCGCGGACGCAACGCTGAGCGGGCGCGCGCAAAAACCGCCGCCGCCGCCGCCGCCGCCGCCGCCGCCAGGTCCGAGCCGGCCGCGGGCTGAATAATGCATCGCCTCCTGGAAGCTGCGTCGTCAATAATGCAGGGGCGCGTCGTACAGCGCGAGGGAGCGCGAGGCGGAGGCGTTGAGCGGGGGAGGGGGGGGGGCGTGGTCGCGCCGCGCCGCTTCATTATATCAGGAGTCTATCAATATATATATATTGATAGACTCCTGATTATATATGAGTGCAGAGATTTGACTGTACGGCCAGGTGGAGAGAGGAAGAGGGAGAGATTGAGAGAGAGCGAGAGAGAGAGAGAGAGAGAGAGAGAGAGAAAAAGAGAGAGAGCGCGGAGCGGTAGGTAGACAGAGAGGGAAAGGTAGTGACAGACAGAGAGAGACAGAGAAATAGTGTGTTGAAGAGAGAGAGAGAGAGAGAGAGAGAGAAGAAGGAGGGAAAGAGAGACACAGAGAAGTGGTTTAGCTTACCTTGGCAGCCAGTCCCAGGTAATGCACAGGTAAGCCATCAGACACTGAGCTATCCGATCCACCATCATCACTGCAACACGAACAGCAGCCGCACCGCTAATCACGCCCGTTAACACCCAGCATAATTACAGCCGAGCATACATTTTAATTAGGCTAATCAATAATGAACGAGCGCTGAATATTTATCACCCCCGTGACGCAATATGTTTACACTCGCCCGCCCGATTCGGTCGCCCCGAGCAACGAGGAAAACAAAACACAATAGCGCCTGCTATATTATCGCTGAAATGCCATGTTGGCACGTGACGACGAATCAATCGGGTCGTGGTTCTGAACTAACGACTCTGTCGGTACTTTGCACAGCGTCCACTAGCTGGACACAAAAGGCCATGCTTCCACGCCTCTCTAATACCTAGGCCGAATAATTCTGTCTCAGATAACGTTTTATATTTTGGATGCGTTATACTGAATTGGATTTGGATTTGGATTTGGATTTGGATTGGATTTGGATGCGTTATTTAGATGCGTTATGCGTGATAACCCTCACCAAAATATAAAAAAGGTTATCTGGGACAGAATTATTCGGTCTACCTAATACCATGCTCATGCCCCCATAATACTTACACTCCGAATTCGCTGAGAATGTACATTAGCAACTATATATAACCATCCTGAACGCGTGAAAAAAAAACAGAATAAAGTTATTTAATAACAGCAATTTGGGAGAGTGAACACATTCGGTTCAGCACAAAACACACGTCCTCCAAAATGCAGTACAAAGTGCCATAAATAACTTTGATTAAGAGAGACCCATATTCTGAAATTAAGAATTAAGAGACTTAAAAAGAAATCCCCCGCAGCCATCGAAAAAGGTGTTCCGAGAATCGCGGGGTCAGCCGGGACGAATCCCCGCCGGGCCCCGCCGTCGGGATTCCCACGCTCCCCGCCGGGTCTCCCTCGGAGGTCGGCGGTGCGACATCAAACGAGACGCGGCGCTGCAGCCTCGTGCGGCACGGCGACCGTCGCCGCGGCAACACGCGTGCGGACAGCGGCGCGTGAATCCCTCGCACCGGCTCCGCTCCTCTTGCGGGAAGCGTCAACGGTGCCGGGTTCCCGCTATCCCGGCCGGGCCCCTCCTCCTTCCCGCCCCCCTCCTCGCCCGCGGGTCTGCTCGCGTCGCTCCGGCTCTCCGTCTCGCTGCCGGCGGGCGGCGGAGGATGTAGAAGGGGCCATCCCCTCATCGACTGCCACAGAGGATGAAGAGGGGGCCATGCCCTCATCGGCGGCCGAGACCAACCGCTCGACGTGGGATAGCGGCGACACCTGTCGGCGGGCGTTCGCCGCCAGGGGGCGTCGCGCGGCCGCGTTGCGAGACGCGTCGCCGCCATCCTCGCTGCGAGGCGCCTGAAGCCGTCTTCGCTCGCCGGCCCGCGCGGTGGCGCCCCCACCGGTGCGGACTCACAGCGGCGGCCGAGGTGCGGCGACGATGCCGGCTCCCTATCCCCGCCGGGTCCCCCGTGTCCGAGTGCGGTCGTCTCGGCAATCTGGCTCAACGAATGGCATCGCGCCGCCGGCACCGCAGTGTCGACTTCGCGGTTGTTGTCGGATGCTGCCGCGGCGCCACCTGGTGGTGAATCCGGCGAGATTCGCGCGTGGGGCGTCTGCAATTTGCCGTCGTCCATCATGAACGCGGTTACTGCTGGGTGATAGTCTTAGATTAGGTCAAGATCTCAGACGTGCCGAGGAATGCGATCGGTTTCTTTCTACGTTCCATCTCTTCCCTTCGAGCAACACCTCTTGGCGTGGACTCTTGAACTCTCTCGAACTTAGTTTTATTCAACTTACCCCTTACCTTCAGCCAGCATGCAGGTAAAGAAAATCTGTTAGGGAACGAGTTCAGATTGGAGACCACATCTGACAAACTTGACCACAGAGTTCGGCAATACTTCGCAAAGACTAATGTCCTTGCACATACTGGCGAGTACTGCTTTCAGAGTACGCCCCACCACGAGTATGTGTACACTACTAAAAGTCTTAACATACTCTTGATATATATATATATATATATACATTTACGATAATATTTTGCAGGGGATGCATACAGAGCAGGGCACTCCACCCAGAGTACGGCCCTACCATGAACATGTGTACACTATTAAGTCTTAATGCACCCATGTTACTAAATAAATATATATACATATATATATATATATATATATATATATCTCACCAGAGACATTATATTTTGTGATGAATATGCATTTAATATGGCTAGGGGGTATCTCAGCATAGATTTATGTAATAAATTGTTTTAATAAATTAATTAATTTAATTAAAATATTAATAAATAGATTAGTAGATCTGTGTTTATAATTAGGAGAGCGCCCTAGCATGTATAGAGTGCAAAACTTCTACTATACACGTATAGAATTTATCGTATATAGAATCGTGATAGATAGATAGATCGATATATGTGACCCGCTCCAGCAAAACCAGGATTAAGTAGGAAATTCTACAAATTGAGATATGTGCATATCTGAATAGATCATTTAATTACCTTTAAAATGATATATCATATTTGGCTATATCTAAAGAATTGACCGATCTACAGCAATTTGAAGATCGGAAACCGACTTATTCCAGAATATGCAGCTTTTGAGATAAAGCGTTCCGGGTAAGGGGCCCATAAGCGGTCAGGGGCCGGTTTGAAGGGTGCCGTCGTTTTTTTTTTTAATTTATTAAAAATGACCATAATAATCTAGAGATATCTGAACCTATATATCTAGATTAAATATGCACTTAGGAACTTATTTTTGTAAAAATCTCATTTTTGTCCAGGTAGGCCATTTTCAGCATTGACATGTGTGCTGCTCATTACTCAAAACAATCACTTGCGACTTAGTCCGTATTATGCTGGAGCGGGTGCACAGCGAAAATTAATCATAAATAAAATTATTAAATTAATTAAAGTAAAATAAATTATCACTAAACGGATATTTCATACCGATTCTCATACGGCCGTAAAAAACGCTATAAACGCATTGCATATTATAAACATGATATATATGTATTTCTAGCATTTCATATTATAAACATGATATATATGCATTTTTAGGCATTGCATAATTATTATAGAACATGATTATATATGTATTTCCTAGCATTGGCATATTATAACACTATATATATGCATTTTTATATATAGATATAGAATAGATGTACATGCGTGCTCAGCGCCGGCGGCGATGCTGCTTCGGCTGCCGACAACGGCTCAGTCGTGACGTTGCTCGAGGTTGGGGCGACTCCAGCGCGAGCTCGCGATTGTCCAGCCGCGAGAAGGTCACACGACGCGTCCGCTCCACCCGCTCTCGCCGCCTGGTGGCGACAATGGGAAACGCTGCGACTGAGCGAGAAGAGTTGCAGGGCAGCGACAGTTGCGCTACCAGAGGTCAGGTTGATAGATGGAACTTATGTGGAGTCAACCTGCAGTTAGTGGATACTCTTATAGAATGACGCCTGTCTATAAAGGACATATTGTGATACAGACTACTCTAGACCGACCCTCAGAGACAAATTTGTTTATGTAGTTGAAAGTAGTTCGAGATAAGTATGTTCTATACACAGTTATACATACTATACTATTTACTATACTATTGCATACTATATTATGCACGTTAGTAAAATTTGTAATCTATAGTTCATATAATATAGAGTAGCCTAACATACATAGTACCATGGGTGAATGATGAAATTTTTTTTTAATTATTGATGCCTGATAGTACTGTTTGCTGCTAATCGCCCATCCGGGCAGCATACTTTATCGTTCAGCTGCTCCGGTGCCAGCGGGTATGCTGATGACGGCCTGCCGGGCGGCGATTCCGCACCGCCACGGTGTGCTCTTCAGACCACCTGCCCTGTCCCCGACCGGCGGGGTGGGGTCGTGGCCCTGGCCTGGAGTTGTGCCTGCTGGCGTAGAAGGTGGCGGCACGATGCGCCTGCTTTTTCAGCTGCCCAAGTATTGACTCATTGCCAGGCAGCGTAGTGAAGAGCTTGTAGCTTCTCTTTCTGTTTGTGCGCGAGCAGAGAGAGAGGAGAGCGATGACAGAGAAGAGAGACGAGAGAGAGAAGAGAGAGAGAGAGAGAGAGATGAGAGAGAGAGAGGAGAGAGAGAAAGAGCGAGAGAGAGGGCGGAAGAGCGGTGGAGAGAGCGGTTGCGAGAGAGAGAGAGAGAGAGAGAGAGCGAGAGAGAGAGGAGCGAGAGAGAGAGAGAGAGAGAGAGAAGAGAGAGAGAGAGCGGTTGAGAAAGGGTGAGAGAGAGAGGAGAGAGAGAGAGAGAGAGAGGCGTGAGAAAAGAGATGAGAGTGAGAGATGAGAGAGAGAGAGAGAGAGAGAAAGGAGAGTGAGAAGAGAAGACGAGAGTTCGTGAGAGAGCAGAGAGAAGAGAGAGAGAGAGGAGAGAGAGAGGAGAGAGAGAGAGCAGAGAGAGAGCAGAGGGAGAGCGGTGAGAAAAGAGAGCAGAGAGAGAGAGAGAGAGAGAGAGAGAGAGAGAGAAGAAAGAGAAGAGCGAGAGAGAGAGAAAGAGCGAGCGGAGAAGGAGAGAGAAAGAGAGATGAGAGAGAGAGAGAGAGAGAGCGGAGAGAGAGAGACGATGAGAGGGCAGAGACAATGAGAGTCGGGGATTAGATAAAGTAGAGGGTGCTAGACGTAAATTAATACATTAAGTAGCAGTAAAAATAACATATTAAATATATATACATGATACAGTAATTCGCAGATATTCCGGATCTATATATAAATAAATAAATTCGTCATAAATAATGTTAGCAAAAACACGAAAACGGGAGTAACAAGAACAACAACAACAACAGGTTCGCCCCCGCCCCCGCTGTGCGCGTCCCCTCCCCTCGCCACCCCTGCAGACCTCTTGCTCTGCTTTGCTCTGCGCGACGGGGTGGGCGGGCAGGCAGGCACGGACGCCTGCAGGGAGAAGAACGGTCTGGTGATGAGTCGGCGCGAGGCAGACGCCCTCGTACAGTGCCCGTCGCCATGTTGTAAGCGGATCGGGTGCGA